TCATTGGCAGAAACATTATGGGAACAGCTAAAGATGGAATTGGAGGAATTCCCAGGAATTCACAAGGATGACCCCCCTACTAAGACCCTATGTATTATGGGAGGGAGTACTTGAATAGCCTTTGCCTTGTTGTCGGATTGATGACTATCTTAAAAGTCATCATAGAACCTGCATCCAGCAACTGATGGAAGCAGATGCAGAGATCCACAGACTATCACTGCTCTGTGCTTCCAAAGTACAGTTGAAGAATGGGGTGCATGAGAATCCATGCAAAGGGATTAAGGTCATAATTGGAATACCCACTGAATCAGTTTACATGGGCCAATGGAAGCCTAAAACCTCTGGCCAGACAGTGAGGGAACCAGCATACTGCCAAATAAGTGCTCTGAAAGTTGGAGAGAGATGTATGGCTGGAGCAGACTTTAGGGTCTGGGGCAGTGGGACCTGGACTTACCCATCTTGTGTTATGATTTTATGGAAAACATTCTCTGGAAAATTACCTCAGTACTATATTCTAATATCTCAAAATTTATTGTATGTAAGATCAGTTCACCTATTGCTTCCTATCTGATCTTCAAAGGCCCAAGAATCTTTGTGCATTGTAAATTGGAATTTTCAAAGGCCAGAGATTCTAAAAGCATATGTCTTTCTTCAGGGTCTGTTATTTCTACTTGTAAAACCTTAGTTTTTGTAAAAGGTCAATATAGGATTCTTTCTTGACCTGCTTGACCCTGGTATGATATTCAGTTCTCTTACTTGATTCCTGAATCCTCTCCCAAACAAATGCTAAGTAAGTGTGAGCCATAAGATACTATTACTTGCTTGATTTCCTTTAGATTACTCATACCTACAAGTTGTCATTTATATTATTTGACTGTCTTAGGGTATTTTGGACCGGATGACTTCTCAAAGGAGATAACTGGATAAGCTGTTGTTTCAATGCAGAATTCTAACAGAATTTATAGGAAGAGCTAATACCCACACTCCTTAATGCATTTCAAAATATAGAAACAGAAGAGTTATTGCCAAACTTTTTTATGAAGCTGCAGTTACCCTGATACCAAAACCACACAAAGACACAATCAAGAAAGAGAATTACAGGCCAATCTCACTCAAGAACATAGACGTGAAAATTCTCAATAAAATACTGGCAAACCGAATCCAAGAACACATTAGAAAAATTATCCATTATGATCAAGTGGGCTTCATCCCAGAGATGCAGGGCTGGTTCAACATACACAAATCTATCAATGTAATACATCATATAAATAAACTGAAAGAAAAAACCATATGATCATTTCATTGGATGCTGGAAAAGCATTTGACAAAATTCAAGTCACCTTTATGATAAAGGTGTTGGAGAGATTGGGGATACAAGGCTCACACCTAAATATAATGAAAGCAATATAGAGCAAGCCAACAGCTAACATCAAATTGAATGGAGAGAAACTCAAAGCCATTCCACTAAAATCAGGAACACGACATGGCTGTCAACTCTCTCCATATCTCTTCAATATAGTGCCTGAAGTTCTAGCAAAAGCAATAAGACAACATAAGGGGATCAAGGAGATTCGAATTGGAAAGGATGAAGATAAACTTTTTTATTTACAGACGCTATGATAGTATACATAAGCGACCCAAAAAACTCAACCAAAGAACTCCTACAGCTGATAAACACCTTTAGGAATGTGGCAGGATACAAGATAAACTCCAAAAAATTGGTTGCCCTCCTATAAACAAAGGATAAAGAAGCAGAGAGGGAAATCAGAGAAACATCACCTTTCACAAAAGCCACAAATAGTATAAAATATCTTGGGGTAAATCTAACTAAGGAAGTGAAAGACCTATTTGACAAGAACTTTAAATCTTTGAAGAAAGAAATTAAGGAGGATACTAGAAAATAGAAAGACCTCCCATGCTCTTGGATTGGGAAAATCAACATAGTAAAAATGGCAATTCTACCAAAAGCAATCTATAGATTCAATGCAATCCCCATCAAAATCCCATCAAACTTCTTCACAGACCTTGAGAGAACAATAATCAAGTTTATATGGCAAAACAAAAAACCCAAGATAGCCAAAACAATCGTATACAATAAAGGAACTACTGGAGGCCTTACTATCCCTGACTTCAAACTCTATTACAGAGCTACAGTATTGAAAACAGCTTGGTATTGGCATAAGAACAGAGAAATCGACCTTTGGAATCGAATAGAAGACCCGGATATTAACCCACAAACCTATGAGCACCTAATTTTTGACAAGGGAGCTAAAGGTATACAATGGACGAAGGAAAGCATCTTTAACAAATGGTGCTGGCATAACTGGATGTCAACCTGTAGAAGGATGAAAGTAGATCCATACCTATCACCATGCACAAAACTCAGGTCCAAATGGATTAAAGACATCAACATTAATCCGTCCACTTTGAACCTAATAGAAGAGAAAGTGGGAAGTAGTCTACAAGATATAGGCACCGGAGGCCTCTTCCTAAGCAGGACCCCAGCTGCACAGACAATAAGAGAAACAATGAATAAATGGGATCTACTGAAACTGAAAAGCTTCTGTAAAGCAAAGGACACTGTCAGTAAGACAAAAAGGCTGCCTTCTGACTGGGAGAAGATCTTTACCAACCCCTCATCAGACAAAGGTCTGATCTCCAAAATATACAAAGAACTCAAGAAACTAGGCACTAAAACTCTAACTAACCCAATTAAAAAATGGGGTACTGAACTGAACAGAGAATTCACAACAGATGATCTTTGAATGGCCAAAAGACACTTAAGGTCATGCTCAACCTCCTTAGCGATCAGGGAAATGCAAATCAAAACCACTTTGAGATACCATCTTACACCTGTCAGAATAGCTAAAGTCAAAAACACCAATGATAGCCTATGCTGGAGAGGATGTGGGGTGAGGGGAACACTCATCCATTGTTGGTGGGAATGCAAACTTGTGCAGCCACTGTGGAAATCAGTGTGGCGGTTTCTCAGGAAACTGGGAGTCAATCTCCCCCAGGACCCAGCAATTCCACTCTTGGGAATATACCCTAGAGATTCCCTAGCATACTACAAAAGCATTTGTTCAACTATGTTCATAGCAGCACTATTTGTAATAGCCAGAACCTGGAAACAGCCTAGGTGCCCCTCAATAGAAGAATGGTTGAAAAAGGTGTGGAACATATACACATTAGAGCTTTACTCTTCGGTAAAAAACAATGACATCTTGAATTTTGCATGCAAATGGATGAACATAGAAATCGCTTTACTGAGTGAGGTAAGCCAGACCTAAAATGAGGAACACGGTATGTATTCACTCATAAGTGGATTCTAACCATAATTAAAGGTCTTTGAGCCTATTATTTGAGATCCTAAAGAAGCTAAATAAGAAGGTGAACCTGAAGAAAATCACATAGTTTTCCTCCTAGATATTGGAAGTAGACAAGATTGCCAGACAAAATTGGGTGCGGCGGGGGGGTGTGGATGTAAGGGGAGATGGTTTGGTTAGATATAGGGGAAAGGGGGAGGACAGGGGATGGCTCGGGGGAATGAGATGTGGGGGGGAGGAACGATGGCTATGTGAGCAGGGAAGTATATATCTCAACTAAGGGAGCCACTTTAGGGTTTGCAAGAGACTTGATTCTGGAGGGGTGTCACGCCTGACCGCGACCAGCAAGGACTGAGGCAACAACAATAGTCTTCCAGCAAGCGGCTTTTTGCAGGATCTCAGTTACAGCATAGGGGTAATAAAGTCTTCTTCCCTGAACCCTCTGTGTAAGCAGCTTATAAGCCTCTGTACTCCAATAATTGTTAGCCACGTGGGCATAGCTCATAGGCTGCCTGCCAACTGCAGACACTTGTCAGAGGAGCTGTGGTCTGATGCTAAATAAGGAGTCCTTTACTCCAAGGTGACCGTTAGAAAGGCTAAGAGCCAGCGCCATCTTTTAGGTACAGTTAGGGAGTCATGTGGGGGAGGTGAGCAGATCCCCACATTTCCCCCTACTCTGTATAAAAACGCAGCAGGAGAAGGCAGGGGTCTGATCTCTGCCACAGAAGGAGCGCTGCTATCCGGCTGATTCGGATGTCATCCATCCAGATGGCCAGTAACCTGCCCGATGCCCTTTTTTGCAGAGGTGGGAGAAAGGCATCTACCTGTATGCAATCAGACATGCCTTCCTCAGATGACTCAAGGTTGTCAAATGAGTGCAGTATTCTTCTGACAGCCTGTGAAGGGCTCAATTATTGTAAGCCAGGTATCTGGGGACTGTCCAGCATCCAGCACAGCTAGAGCTTGCGCCATCATGGCGGTGTTGCATTGCTGTGAAGACCTAATATTGCATATGCACCACAGACAAACAAAGGAAACTAATAAAAGGAGACAGAGTGCTGCTCTCATCCCAGCCCATTCTTTGAAGTAGCCAATGGCGGAGGTAATCCAGGAAGACAGGCTCTCCACTAGGGTGGAATCGATTTGGGTGGAATTGATTACAACAACAGCTTCTCGAAGCTTTTCCAACGTTCTATCAAAATCTTCAGTCCCATTGCATAGGAAATAAGAAGATAATTCTCGGGAAAGATTAGCCGCATGAGTAAAATTAAAAGCAAGTATCATTGTGGCATTCTGCAAAGGAAGAATTACTCAATGAAAACAAAAATGGTGGGTAAACAAAACAAAAATGGTGGGTAAACGCACAAAGGGGCCGATGTATAGGAATACAGCCTTGATGGAATATCAAGAAAGACAATGGATGAAAAGGACACTGGTAGGGGTTTAGGAAAGGCATACATTATTCCCCATTGGGGCACCATCATTACTGTAGGTATCATCAGGAGGCTCATCATAAGTATTAATGCCATTGTCTTTTGGAGACTGATTGATCTTGCGTACCAATCACTCTGGGACCCAGATGGGATCTTGATGAGTATGTCCCATTTGCCCACAGCCATAACAAGCGCCTTATTTGGGCCTTGCTCCTTGGGTAAGTCTCACAACCGCTGCAGCTTAGCATGAATTAGAGAGGAGGCCCCCTACCTCTCTACATACTCGAACCCAGCTCTCTAATCCTTTAGTTTTATGTGGTGTAATAGCATCTCTGCACTCCTTTGTGGCTTGTTCAAATATTAATAGCTTAAGCATGGGCATCATGGCATCAGGTTCATCAAACAGCCTGCCTGCTGCCTCTACCATACGTGTTACAAAATCTGAAAATGACTCTTCTGCTTTTTGGATAATCTTAGTAAGATTGCCTCTAACTTCCCCTTTTGTTGGGACTGATTTCCATGCCTTTATCGCCAAGGCATTTATTTGATCAAAAACAAGGGGTGGTAAGGCTACCTGATTGTTAGCATAGAGACCAGTACCAGTTAACATATCCACGCCCCGGGCATTCTGAGGTGGTGGCCTCGTTCTGTTAAGCATCGCCTGTGCGCTGGCATATTCAGTAAAATAGGCCTTCCACTCTAAAAATTGCTCCGGCGCCATGCAAGCCCTGACCAAATTGGACCAGTCCCAGGGAGTCATAGCATGGCGAGTCAGGCTCTCTACTTGCCTGAGAGTAAACGCTGCCACAACGCCATATGTACGGACTGAATCAGCAATCTTCTTGACAGTTTTAAAATCTAGAGGCTCATGAAATTGATTTCCTGCCTGATCTAAGAATACAGGAAAGGACATAAGGATCTTAGGGCCCGTTCCTGAAGATATCAATTCCGCACAAACCTGCCTCCAAATTGAATGATGTAAGGAATTATTTGGGGGAGGCATGGTTATTTCCTCTGGATTCACGTTCTCATAAGGAGGGGGTGCAGTAGGAGTCACTGGGAGAAGGAGTGGAAAACTGTTTTCCCTGTCTTTTAACTTATGATGTCTCTCACACAAGGAAGGATACATTGACTGAAACTTGAATTTCTCATCCAATATCTTATCTTTATCATCCTCTTCCTCCTCCTCAGAGGTATATCCCTTCCTCGCGGATGTCTGTATGACTGAATTTGCCTCGGACTTCTCTCCTTCAAGGATATTTAAGGCCACTTTACTGGTGTCTAATGCCGAACTGCATCTTTGATCTGTTAAGCATCCTTTAACCAACTTCCAAATGGGACGGACTCCCCCTTTTAAGGTGACTTGTTCAAAGGCAAAATCCAGATCATGACCCAATTTGTCCCAGGATGGGACAGTAAGGGCTCCAGACATCATAGCGAACCACGGGGCTGCAATGTCTACATCAGATAAAAATTGAGCAGGCGTGCTCTGCTTGAGTTTTAAATTTTTGGATCTCAACAGCTCATTGAGAGCAGTATACACGGGGTGGGATGGTGAATTTCCCATGTTAATGTTCTGGTTGCTCTGCACTATGCAGGCTCTACAACAGACAAGAGCTAGGATCAAAACAAACAGAAATATAACAACCAACCAAATGGCTAACAAGTAGCAGCTCTCCATACAGAGCAGTAGCCGATGACTTAGTTTCACTTTAACTTCCTAGTCTTGAGTGCCCTAACCCGCCATTATAGTCGCAGCACTTTCCCTGCCACTGTGATACGAGCACTTATCCGGCTCCTCCTTTACCTACAGGTAGGAACAAATTATAATCTTCCATCAAGGCGAAGTGTCCCCTTTCTTACCTGGGACTTACCAGTTATCACTCCCTGCTAGCCACTGGTTCTGGCTCTCAGGGAAGAAGAGAAGGTTCCTGGATTTCTGCACCAAATGTCACACCCATCCTTGACTAGCAAGGACTGAAGCAACACCAAGTGTCTTCCAGCAAGAGGTTTTATTGCAGGATCTCAGTTACAGCTTAGGGGTAATAACGTCTTCTTCCCTGAACCCTCTGCGTAAGCAGTTTATAAGCCTCTGTTCTCCAATAATTTTTAGCCATGTGGGCATAGCTCATAGGCTCCCTGGCAACTGCAGACACTCATCAGAGGAACTGTGGTCCGATGCCAAATAAGGAGTTGTTTACTCCAAGGTGGCCTTTACAAAGGCAAAGAGCCAGTGCCATCTTTTAGGCACGGTTAGGGAGCCATGTGGGGGAGGCGAGCAGCGCCTCACAAGGGGTTCCCAGGCCCAAGGAGAGGTCCTCAGATTGTTCCCTGGGCAGCAGAGGAGAGGATATCAAAACTGGCCTTGGCCCATAACCATGCTGATTAATATTTTGCATATCACTATAGAACCTTCATCTGGTGATGGATGGAAATAGAGACAGAGACACATATTGGAACACTGGACTTAACTCCCTAGGTCCAAATGAGAAGCCGAAGGAGGGAGAACGTGAGCATGAAAGGCAGGATCAGAGGGAACCTTCATCTGATGATGGATGGAGATAGAGACGGAGACCCACATTGGAGAACTGGACTGAGCACCCAATGTCCAAATGAGGAGCAGAATGATGGAGAACATGAACAAGGAAATCAGGACCGCGAGGGGTGCGTTCACCAACTGATACAAGGGGACTGAACAAATGAGAGCTCACCAAGGCCAACTGGACTGGGACTGAACGAGCATGTGATTAAACTGAAGTCTCTGAATGTGGCTGACATGGGGGCTGACTGAGAAGCCATTGACAATGTCACTGGGTCTTGTTTTGTTTGCATGTACTGGCTTTTTGGGATCCTAGTCTGTTTGGATGCTCACATTCCAAGACCTGGAGGGAGAGAGGAGGAACTTGAACTTCCCACAGGGCACGAAACCCTGACTATTGTTCTTTAAAAAGAATATGATGATGGGATTCCCTAGGCGGCTCACGGAGCACCTTGTAGTCTGACAAGGATGGCTGTGGGTCCCTGTAAGATCTCCAGGATGGCAGTGCCATGCGGCTGGGGGAGTCAGGTGGGCAGTTATGGCAGATAAAAGGCTCACAGGACATAGTATTATTTAAAGAAGAGGGAGACATTCTTTGCTTAAAGAAGAGGAAAACAGAGAAACATAAGAGAAACATAGAGAAAAACAAAGACACATGTACACAGGACACGAGACAAACACAAGAGAGGGAAAAGATGGCGACGGGGGAGGTCAGAAGTGGTTGGTGTGGGCGTGGTTAGTCCTTAAAGTGACCGCAAAGGAATAACATTCCCGGATCCTTTTTATAATAAAATGTAGAAAGTTAGACATTACAGTTTGAAGGAATTGGGGCAGCGAATTCTCAAGGCTGCTTCCGGCTGATTTGTGGGCGTCGTCTTTGCTGGGGGTGAGGGAGATACAAGAGAAGCTTGGATGCTGGTCACATTTTGGCATAGCTGGTCTCTGCTCCCGACAGGTGTCTGTGGCATGGAAATGTCTGGTGTCCCTTGTACCTGGTTAGGGTGTTGGCAGAACAGAGGACAAAGTTAAATTAAGAAAAAAAAAATTTAGGACCAGGGAATTGAGGGCTTTGTATCTGACCTGTTTATGATGGGTTTTTTAATTCAGCTCCCTGGAACTCATAAGAAAAATAGAAGTTTTAGACATATATATTGTATTAAGAACTCCTTGGGTTTGTAAAAACAGAAATTATAATGAAAAGTATTTTTATTTGGTGAGACAACCTGGCAAAACCTCTTAGCTATCAGACTGTCAGAGATCTTTGAGAAAGATAAGATTTTGCTTGAGTTACTGATTATACAATGACAGAGAACTTACTTGGTTGGCATCTAGAGCTACTCTTTTGGGTCCTCCTTGGTCGCTGAAGGTTGCATCTGACCTTTGTTGTTTAATGTAGAGCTTGCCAGGCTTCAGAAGACCCTGTGGACTAAGAAATCTTTAGGAAGACAGGCCTACCTTGCCCTGGGCAGCTAGACTGTCAATTTCAGTGATTTTGTCCATGTTTGGAGGTCTCCAGTTTAGGTAAAAGGCAGTTTTTGCCCAATGGTCAGCACTTGGCAGTCAAAGCAAACTGCAGATGGACGCTGGTCTTTGACGATTTGTCTTCTGTCTTCTCGGAGGAAACAGAATGCTTGCTAGGAGCCAACCTGTCTTTTTTTGTTCTGAAAAGTTTTTTTTTAAAATAATTAAACATTTAAATATCGCATTTCCCAGATCTCTGAGCAGTTGAGGGCTGATTATAAGGTATAGCTACAGTATAGAATCTGTCTGGAAGGTTGGGTTTGAGTTTGACTGTATTGACTCTTAACAAGTAAGATCCATATTTGTAAAAAGACAGACAGAAAGATAAAAACTGTTTGTAACATTAAGATTAGTGGCAGAACTGACAATGGTAGAAAATAGCTTAATATTAAATATGAGAGAGTTAAAAGTACATACCAGTTTAAAATGAGACTTATGATTTTGTAGTCTGAAACAAGATGAAATGAACAACCATTATACATAGAAAGATTGAACAGGAATTAGGCAAACTGCATGCTTCTGATGGGCCCTATCAAAAAGCATGTCACTATGCAAAACACCTGCAATCAGAGTTAATGAGGATTTCAGTGAACACCGAGGAGGGGGAGAGGAAAGGCAGGACATACGTAACAGTGGGAGAGCTTGGTCGCATGATCTGGCTCTCAGTGAATCTAGCGATAAAGTCACCTGACCTCAATGAACATGGTGGCAGCCTCGTGTTGTGGCTTGAATGGAAAGACCGCGGGAATTTTAAAAGCCAGGGACTGCCTAATTGTTATACAGAGTCTGAATCGTGAAAAACCCACATAAACAGACAATTTAAGGCATATTTAGGCTGGTATGACTTGCTTTTCCAGGTCAAGACCGTGAGAAACACGCAAAAACTGTGGCATCTCGAGCCTATGGGGAAGAGATGCTGGTGAGATGCAAGCGACCATCCAGACATGTGCCCAGGCGTCCGAGGTACCCTTGTGGGATGGTATCGGCTGAACCGGATCAGCCAAATAAGTCCATGAGAAAGATAGGAAGGAAGAAAAACTGAAATAAAGAGGAAGGAGCCTGGGTTCCCAGTTGCAGGAATGGTGGGAACTGGCCAGGCCAGCTGTCCCAATCACGGGCTTAACAGAGGACAAAAGCCGTAATGAACGCCAGCAAAGGGGCGGAGAAGTAGCCCCTGAGCCCAGAAACATTGGAAGGACTGGTCAATCCCAGGTTAAAAAAGCTCAGATAAGCTGGCTGGAGTGAGGAAACTTACAATTAGAAGCCGGTGTTGTTTGTAGGAATGAGTCCAGGCAGTTGGAACACGTGGGTCAGGGTTGAGAAGACCTCGGTTCTGATTCAGTCCCAGAAGTTGGAGCTCAGAGTCCCGGACGATATGTGAAGCCGGGACCGGCCCTTGGCAGGTGAATCTCTTGAGTCCGTGGCACCAAAGATTGTTCTTTAAAAAGAATAGAATGATGGGATGCCCGGGACAGCCTGTGAGCCAGGCAGAGGCTGCTGCCAGGGCAGTGCAGGGTCCCAGGGCGAGCAGCAGAGTCAGGCGGCTGGATGCGGTGGACGGCAGAGTAAATAAACATAAGGCTATACATAAAGCTAAACATTTATTACTTAAAAAAGGGAGACATAGACAAACATAAAGAGAGACAGAAAACACGTGTGCACACGGCAAGAGACAGAAAAGGGGGATGCCAAGATGGCGACAAGGTCAGAAGTGGCTGGGGGGTGGGCATGGCTAGCTCTTAAAGTGATCTCAAAGGAATAACACTCACTACTCTTGGGATTGGAGAGGGAGGAGGAGAGGGAGTGGGAGGAGCGGGAGAGTATTGGGAGGGGGGTGGACTGGAAATTTTATAAATAAATTAATAAGTAAATTTACAAAAAAATTAAAAATAAAAAAATCATAAACCACACACACACACACACACACACACACACACACACACACACAACCCTCTGGGTTAGTCATCTTGACTTTGAACCATACTGGTGATGCTAAACCATGTTCTTGTACTTCATCTCCCTGACCATCAGTTCCAATAATTTCCTCAATTGTTTCATATATTTTTACCACATACGTTTTTATAAAGTCCAAATCTCTGTTCTTTGTGATGTTCTAGTCCCCTCATTGATCAGTTTAGCTTCTGTTCCTTATTCAGCACACATCATTCAAAGGTATGAAATGTGTCCAGTGAGGATAATGTCTCATTCTTGGGTATTATTTGGATAGAGTGCATATTAATTACCTCCCTAGAGACATAGCTTATCTGATATCTTAATGTAACTTTTCAACAGATTAACACTGTTAAATTCAACAGTATGAATTATCTCAGATAATTTCTCAGGACCCTTAAACATACATTGGATTTTGTCTCTTCAATTAATATTATCCCTATCAATAGTATTAATATATTTGGCTAGCTGTTCATTAGTAGTCTGTAAAGACTGTATCATTTCTAAAAGTGACTCATCCTTGACTCGATTATAAAAACATTTTCTTAGAGATATAA